CTTGGCTTTGTCTTTGGGATAAACAGGCACCTCTGGCCATAACTGAGTGAGGGTGAATCTCTATAGCTCTTGGGTCTTTCTCTTTGGGATGTATGTGCGCAGTCAAGTCAGCAGCTGCAAGCCTGGCTGTCTGATTACAGCTCTCCGTCTGGTTCAGTTGTGGCTATAGTTCTCCTCGGTTATCCTTATATTTTCACAGCCACTCCAATGTGGAAGCTGTGTTGGTGGTAACAAAAACAATGTGACTGCATGATTTCTCTTTTAATTCAGCCAGCACTGCCATGCTTCTGGGCGGAACAGGCCTCCAGCAGGGTATTTCCTTCCTCTTCCTTGACTGCCCTTGACCCCAGCCCTTATCTTCCCACGCCGAGAATTCTTAGTAGCACCTTCAGCGATATCTCATTCAGTACACTCCCTGTTCTCTATACTATAAAAGCGATGAGTCAAGCTGTGCAGAAGACTTCTGCCTCCTACAGTTTATTCTAAATTGTAATGTGCTCATCTGATAGGCCTCTGTGTTTATAGTGTGAAGTCAAGCTAAGTCTCTAGTTTGTAGCCTTCCCCTGGGGAAAGGTTAACACTCAGTATGTCAAAGCTTGCTGTATTAACAAGTCCTCAGGTGTTAGAGAGTTCAGCCACTGAGCACAGACTGGAGACTGTTAAAACTTTCACCTTTATCAGTCCAGCCCCTGGACAGGGTCCTAGGAATGGTGAAGGCTTAGGGAGAAGTGCAAACAGCCATTCCCTAGATGATATCACACTCTTGAGGCCAAGAAGTTTGGCTTTTCGATCTCAGTTGCATGTGGAGCAGCTAGGAGTGCAAGCAGGACCCCAAAACATCTGCATTCTCCCAGGCCTTACTGATGCCCCAGAAGTGCAAACAGCCATTCCCTAGATGATATCACACTCTTGAGGCCAAGAAGTTTGGCTTTTTGATCTCAGTTGCATGTGGAGCAGCTAGGAGTGCAAGCAGGACCCCAAAACATCTGCATTCTCCCAGGCCTTACTGATGCCCCATCTGTAGCCTGCTGCTGAGGCCTGGGCAGGCAGAGCTGCATTGCGAAGCAGCAGGGTATCTCTGACACTGACTGTGGCAGGAGGACCAGGCTGTGCAGGAGGGTTACCTGAGCATCCCGGACCAATACAACACCAAGAGGGGAAAACCTGCGGGCTTGCTAGAGAGGACTGGGCTCCCGTCATACATCCGGCTTAACGCGGGCTGGTGGAGCCCCTGCACTGGCGCGGGGGAGGGCACCTGTGTGCTGATGACAGCCTTTGAGGCCAGACTCAGAAAACCCAATCCTCCACCTGCATTTTTTCCTGTAGCCCATATTGGTCCAGCCACCCTCTGCCTGCTTTCTTTCCAGGGGCCACCTCTCTAGGTCATGGTCAGGGTCATTGGTCACATTCAGTAAAAACTATTTTCCATTCTAACCCAAGGTCACTGTGAGGCCAGGATTCTCCTCTTTCCGAGACTCAGTTCTGGACAGTGGAGTGTAGTGGCTTGCATGTTGCCGGCAAGTGGATGGAGCAATAAACTGAAGGAGCAGCTGTAACTGCGGTGAAGGTGGGATGCCCTGGGGTGTGAGGACAGTCATTGTTCTAGGAGTTAACCAATTCCAGACTTGGTGATAATGGGGAATAATGCATGTATGGGCCACCAGAAAAGGTCAATCTCATTCCTGACTTCTCACTTAGATCCTAAGGCTTTTTCTTTTCCAAAATCAGAGAGTGGTGCAGGAAACCAAGGAAAGGCAGCTGGTCCAGGGGAGCTGGGCTTCCTAACAGCCTGTCTTAGATGAGCTCTCAGAGAAGTCAGTACAGGACTTGGGGCCTAACCTGGCTTCCCCTTTGCAGGGCACACAGGCAAGTGTGTATGTGTGTCTATGTACATGAAAGTGTGTGTTTTTTGGGGAAAGTAATTTGAGGCAAAATGAGATTATTCAGATGTGAAATAGCTTTGTTTGGAGAGAGCACGTATTTTTGAGAAGATTCATTTAACTGGTGAGGTGGAAGCACCTACCAGTAAAATTTTCTGGGAACTAGAAATCCATATCACTTTCTACAGATGAAATCTACCAACTTAGGCAGGAAAAGTCTTTTTGGGAATACATTTGCTCTGTAAATTGTGTATGTAAAATAGCATAAGCCTGGGACTTGTTTCTTAAGCAAATGTATACTGAGCAGCCTCTGGATGCCATGCCATAATATTAGTAATAATACTAGTTACAGACTTACTGAGCTCTTACTCTGTGGATTCCTGCATGTAACAAGTATTTATGGAGTTCCTGCTTTGTGCCAATGGTGACCAGGACAGTGCTTTCATGGAGCTGTAAAATGTAGTGGGGAAAATAGAAAAAACACCAGTGAATGTGTAATGCACTGTCAGGGAGTGATACATGCTTAAATGGGAAGGTGGGTAAGGGGATAGAAAGTGTATACAGTGCAGGGAGTGGAGGAAGGTCAGAGAGGGCCTCTGAGGAGGTGATATTTGAACAGACTGATGTGAGGGGGCAAACTAGGCAGAGGGAACAGCTAAGTTCTAAGGTGTGAACAATTTCAAAAGTGTTTGAGTTTTTGAGCAAGAGAGAGAAGGCAAGTATTTCAGAACTGAAAGGAGCCAGACAGGGTGGTTAGAGATAAGGCCAGAGAGAGAGAGAGAAGTGGGCCTCCTCTTGTGTGGCTTTGATTTTGTACACTGGACAAGGCCTTCTTCACCCAGAGTTGTAAGGGAAAGTCTCACTGAACAGGTGATATCTGTGCTGAGATGAAAAAGAAGGGAAAAACCAGGGGGGGAGAACACCAGGCTGATGGAAGAACAAACACAAAGGCCTTGTGGTAGGAAAAATTTTGACTTGTTTGAAGAAGAGAAAGGAAGCCAGAGTGGCTAAACTATACAGAGCCCAGTGAGATAGTTATGCTGGCTGAAGTTGTAGAGAGATGCAGGGGCCAGGTCACATGGGACCTTAGGTAAGGTCCTAGGAAAGAGTTGGATTTCATACTAAGAACAGTGGTGGTCATTAAAGAATTTTTGACTCTTATACAACCTTTTTATCAGATCATTCACACTAATGTGCAGAAAATCTGTTGTTAGGGGTGTAAGAGTGAAAAATGAATGAGACTAGTTAGGAGGTTATTGTAGGAGTTCAGCCAAGGAAATGATTAATGTTATAGTATGTGTTGATATCTGGGTACAGCAAATCCTCCCCCTTTTTTTTACCCCCCCAAATTTTCTAAGCTAGTCTTTTTGTCTATTCCATATAAACTTCAAAATCCATTTGTAGACCTTTGCTGTCAAAATGTGATCCAAATACTGGCAGCACTGGCATCGCCTTGGAGGCTTTCAGAACTACAGACTTATATTCCATATAAACTTCAAAATCCATTTGTAGACCTTTGCTGTCAAAATGTGATCCAAATACCGGCAGCACTGGCATCGCCTTGGAGGCTTTCAGAACTACAGACTTACAGAATCAAACTCTACACTTTGACAATACCACCAGGTGATTTGTGGGTACATTAAAATTTGATAAGCACTGCTCTAGACCTTGCTCTGTGTGTTTTGGCTTCTAATATTGCCAAGGAGAGGTCTGAGGCTGCCTGATTTTGCTTCCTTTTCAGAAAGTACCTGGTCTTGGGGCTGGCCCGGTGGCACACTGGAGAGTGCGCCGCTTGGGAGCGCGTTGGCACTCCCGCCGAGGGTTCAGCATTGTATGAGAGTTCCAATTCCAATACATCTTTGCCTACACTTGATGTTGTCTATATTTTAAATTTTAGCTATTCTAATAAGTGTGTAATGCTATCTCATTGTGGTTTTAATTTGTTTTTCCCTAATGACTAATAATGTTGAACATCTTTCATGTATTTAATTGTTTTCCACATCTCTTCTTTGGTGAAGTGTCTGTTCAAATCTTTTTTTGTGTGTGTGTAGGGGGGGTTGCGGCTAGCCAGTTGGGGATCCAAGCCCTTGATCTTGGTGTTATAACACCTTGCTCTAACCAGCTGAGCTAACTGGCCAGCCCTGTTCAAATCTTTTGCCCAATTATTTTTTTTTTTTATTGGCTTATTTTCCTATGAGTGAGTTTTAAGAGTCCTTTATATTTTTTTGGATACAAGTACTTTATTAGGGCTGGCCAGTTAGTTAGAGTGTGGTGTCAATAACACCAAGGTCCAGGGTTCGATCCCTTTTACTGGACTGCCGAAAAAAACCACACACACACACACACACACACAAACAAGTACTTTATTAGAATATGATTTGCAATATTGTCTTCCAGTCTGTGGCTTGTCTTTTTCATTCTCTTAAGAAGATTTTAATTTTTATCAAGTCCAATTTATCAATTTGTTCTACTGGTTGATACTCTTTAGAGTTTGTAGTGTATATGTTTATGTGCATCCACGTATGTGTGCTTATTCATGATAAATGTTCTATCATGATCAATATTCATGATATTGACAAGTTTAGAGAAGGGGCATTTTGCAAATGTCTGTTCTTATCATGCTATGGTTCCTGGAAACCTAATTAATCTATTTATAAAAATTGCTGTGCATAAATTTACAATGAAATTACTATAGATTTTATAAAATGGACTGTTTCTGTGGCAGGTAAATTCTCTGTGTTAGGCAGCCTCCACAATGGCCCCCAGTGATCCTCATATCCTGGCATTCAAGCCCTTGTGTATTTCATCCCACACTGAATCATGACTAATCTCTGATGAGAATGTATTAAGAAAATGATCATGCATGACTTCCAAAAACTGGGTCATAAAAGCTTCAGCCTTGGTCTCTAGGACTGCTCCCTTTGGGAGGAAGCCACATGCCATGTTGTAAAAACACTCTCATGGGAAGGAATTGAGGCTTCCTGCCAACAACCATCACCAACTTGCCAGTCATGTGAGTAAGCCACCTTAGACAAGGAAACAGGCAAAGAACTTGCTGCAGGTCACACACTAGTAAGCAGCGCAGCTAGGTTTCTGGACCAAGGTAGTCTGTGCACTCAAATGATACACATTGGGCCTTCTGAGACATGGGCCCCACTCTTCCCACGCAAACTCTTCCCACTGCAGCGCAGCTGCAGAACCCAAGCAGCTTTGGCATATGTGGATGAACGGTCCCCTCCGTACCTGGAAGGGCAGCCAGAGCGGCAAACATCAGAGAACCCTGGGTAATTCCTAGGATTGTAAGCATTCTGTGGCCTGAGCTGGCCGGAGGGCATCCCCCCGAAGGAGCTGTCGAGTGGGGGCGCTGCGGGACACAGCATGGGGCGGGCCACTCTGGCCCGTAGTATCGCTGGGAGTAGGGACGATGACAGTTGAGGCTGGGGTACAGTACCACAGAGACTGGCAACTTCCCGGGTTCCTAGGAAGAAAGGGAACGGAAAAAGGCACTTCCGGCCTAGCGTTTTCCCGAGAGCCCGCGGCAGGTGGTGTTCCCGTGCTGTCGGCGCGGGCGCCGCGCTGGCTGAGCCGGTCGCGGCGGAGCGGGGTTCGGGGGCCAGGTATGCGATTTGCTTCCCCGGGGTGTGCGCCACCCGGTTCTCCAACCCCTGTGCCCTTGGGGTAAGGGGGCGGCGGGACGGAGAGGGGCCCAGGTCGGACAGAGGGCCTTTGCGGGGTGGGAGGTGGCATCACTCTCACCCCTGCCTCTGTTTTTCCTTTCAGTCGGGCTTCTCCGGACCCCGAGGGAGTGTGTGAGGCGGAGACGCCAGTTATGCTCCAGACCCCCTGGCGCCAGGTGAGCGAGCATGCTCTCAGCCTCTTTTGCCCCTCTTTCTGGCCCTCCCTCCCTTTTGATGACAAGAGAGAGCAGGTGTCAGCTCTGCCTCCAGATCCTGAGTTGTGCGGGCCTGTGGCTTCCGTTGTGTATCTGTCACTGTGAGCGGGGTGGAGAGGTGAGAATGCCCAAACTAAGACACGATTGGGATGGAGAAAACGAGTGAATGTGGAAGAATTGATTGGAATACATTTGGCAATTGTGGCCAGCCCCCCTCCCCCAATTTTCTGAAAAGAGGAAATCTGCATCACTGCGTACAATGAAGGCCCCTTTTCACCCCTATCCACAAAATTAGGGAACTCTTCTCTTAAATAGAGCAATTCTAGTTGTTTTGTACATCCCATTCGATTTCCTGCATAGACAGGTCGTTAAGAATAAAGACAGTTTTACATCTTTCTTTACAGTGTAGACGCCTTTTGTTTCTTTTTCCTTGCCTCACTGCTCTGGTTAAAACCTTCATTTCAGTGTTGAATAGAAGTGCTGAGAGCAGATATCCTTGTTTTATACATGATCTTAGGGCAAAAGCATTCAGTCATCTTAAGTCTTATGTTCACTGTAGGTTTTTGTTTTTTGGTAAATGCCCTTTTTCAGGTTGAGTGTCTTCTATTCCTAGTTTGCTGAGAGTTTTTATCAGGAATGGAGGTTAGATTTTGAAAAATGTTTTTTCTGTCTCTGTTTAGATGATCATATGATTTTTCTTTCTTAGTTTGTAAATGTGGTGAATTACATTGGATTTTTTCAAATATTAAACCAACCCTGCATTCCTGGGATAAAACTGATATGGTCATGATGTATTATTCTCTTAACTATATGTTGGATTTGGTTTCTTAAAATTTTGTTTAGAATTTTTGAATCTATGTTCATAAGAAGTATTGTAATGCTTTTGTCCCATAGAATGAGAAACATTCCCTCCTTTTCAATATTTTGGAAGCATTTGTGTAGAATTGAAACATTTCTTCCTTAAATATTTGGTAGAATTCACCAGCGAAGCTATTTAGGCATGGAGTTTTTTCCTCATGAGGTTTTTAAATACAGTTTCAATTCTTTTGGTAGATATAGGGATACTCGTGTTCTATTCTTGAGGGAGTTTTGGTAATTTGTGTCTTTCAAGGAATTTATTCATTTTATCTAAGTCGTAGAAATTATTGACATGAAGTTATATATTTCCTTATTATCTTTTTATTATCTGCAGTGATGTCACTTTTTTATTACTAATATCAGTATCTGTGTGTTCTCTTTTTTCTGACCAATCTACCTAGAGGTTTGCAAATTTTCTTGATCTTCTCACAGAACCAGCTTTTGGCTTCATTAATTTTCTCTGTTTCTCTGTTTTCTATGTCATTAGTTTCCACTTTGATCTTTATTTTCTTTTGTCTGCTTACTTTGTGTTAAATTTGCTATTCTTTTTCTGGATTCCAAAGTTGAAGCTGAGGTCACTGATTTGAGACCTTTCTTTTCTGTTTTGTAACATAGGCATTTAATGCTATAAATCCCTCCCTGCTAAGTACTGTGTTAGCATCATCTTTCAAATTCTAGTACATTGTGTTTTCATTTTCATATAGTACAACATACATTTGACATTCTTTTATGATTTCTTCTTTGATCCATGTGTTTAGAAGTGTGTTATTTAGTTTCCAAATATTTGGGCATTTTCCAGGAGTCTTTCTGTAATATCAAATTTAATTCCATTTAGTCAGAGGACATATTTTGTATGATTTGCATAATTTTAATTTTATTAAGACTTCTTTCATGGCCCAGAATATCATCTGATCTTCATAAATGTTCTTTTACTCCTGAGAAGAATGTATGTTCTGCTGTTGTGGGATGGAGTGTTCTGTAAATGTCCATTAGGTCAAGTTGGTTAATAGTATCATTCACACCTGTTATAACCTTTTTGAGAGAGGGTATTGAAATTTTCAACTATACTTATGTATTTGTCTATTTCTCCTTACAATTTTATCAGTTTTTGCTTCATGTATTTTGAAGCTCTTATATTAAGTGCATATACATGTAGGATTGTTATGTCCTCATGGTAAACTGATTATTTTATGGTTAGGAATGGTATTCTTTATCTCTTAGTATTCTTTGCCTAGAAATCTACATTGTCTTATATTAATTTACCAACCCCAGCTTTCTTTTGGCTAGCATTGGCATAGTACATCTTTTTCCATCTTTTTGCTTTTATTTCTGTCTCTGTATTTAATGTAAATCTCTTGAAGATAGCAGATAGTAGGTTCTTGTTTTTTTAAAATCCAATCTGACAATGTTTGCCTTTTGGGATGTTTAGAGTATTCACATTTGATGTGGGATTGTATGGTTAGATTTGAGTCTCTCGTCTTCCTATTTGCTTCCTAATTGTCCCATCTGTTCTTTGTTCTCTTTTCTTTTTCCATCTTCTTTAGGATTAATGGTGTTTTTTTTTTTTTATGATTCCACTTTTTTTCTCTTTTGTTGGCTATGTATATACTGTAAGTCTTTTTCTTATTACTTTAGTGGCTGCTTTAGGGTTTGTAGTATACAAACACAGTTCATTTTCAAGTAATGTTATACCATTTCATGAGTAGTATGAAACCTTGTGATAGTATACTTCCATTTTTCACCTCAAGGCCTTTAAGTTATTGTCATGCATTCTACTATTACACATCTTGTGAATCCCACATTACATTGCTATTGTTTTTAGTCAATTAGTTTTTGTAGAGATTTAATACTTTAACAAATTCCTACATAGTTACCATTTCTTGTGCTCTTCATTCCACTGTGTGTATTTAGATTTCCATCTAGTATCATTTTCTTCCTTCCTGAAGGTCTTCTTGTAGTGTGTGGGTCTGCTGGTGGTGAATTCTTTCAGTTTCTGTATGTCTAAAGCATCTTTATTTTGCCTTTGTTTTTGAAAGATATTTTTGCTACATCTATAATTCTACGTTTTTCCCCCCCTTTCTGTATTTTAAAGATGTTGATCCACATCTTCTTACTTGTGTTGTTTCTGACAAGAAATCTGAAGTCATTTTTACACTTGTTCCTCTGTATATGTCTTTTTTCTTCTGACTTAAAAAACTGTATACTTTTTATCACTGATTTTGATCAGTTTGGTTATGATGTGCCTTGGTATAGTTCTCTCCTAAATTCTTGTGCTTTGGGTTTGGCTACCTTCTTGAATATGTGATTTTATAGTTTTTGTCAAGTTTAAAACATTTTTAGCCATTATTTCTTCAAAAATTTTTTGTCTCTCCTTCTTTGTCTTTTCAAAGACTCCAATTATCTGTATGTTAGGCTTCCTGAAGTTCTTCCACAGCTTACTAATGCTCTGTTCTTTTTGCCTTCCATCTTTTTTCTGTCTGTGTTTCTTTTTTTTTTTTTTTTTTTTTTTTTTAAAAAAGATGACCGGTAAGGGGATCTCAACCCTTGACTTGGTGTTGTCAGCACCACGCTCACCCAGTGAGCAAACCAGCCATCCCTATACAGGGATCCGAACCCGTGGCCTTGGTGTTATCAGCACCACACTCTCCCGAGTGAGCCACAGGCCGGCTCTCTGTGTTTCATTTTGATGAGTTTTTATTGTCATGCTTTCAAGTTCACTAGTCTTTTTTTTTCTACAGTGTCTAATTTGCTGTTAATCCCATGAAGTATATTTTTCATCTTTGACATTGTAGTTTTCATATCTAGAAGTTTGATTTGTATCTTCTTTAAAAATATGTCTTCCTTGTCTCTATTTAACTTTTGGGTATGTGGAATACACTTATAATAACTATTTCAATGTCCCTGTCTTTCTCTGCTAATTCTAGTATCTGTCAGTTCTGGGTTGGTTTTTGACTGATTGATTAATCTCCTCATTATGGGTCATGTATTCCTGCCTCTTCAAATGTCTGGTAATTTTTGATTGAATGCCAGGCATTGTAAATTTTACCTTGTTGGGTGCTAGATATTTTTATATTCCCATAAATATTGTGTGTTTTCTGGAATAAAGTTGAGTTGCTTGGAACCAATTTGATCCTTTCTGGTCTTGATTTTACGATTTGTTAGTAGAATCTGGAGTACTGATCAACCTAGGGATAATTATTCTCCAGTACTGAGAAAAGATTATTTTGAATGCTCTATCCAATGGCCCATGAGTTATGAGTTTTTTCAGTGTGGCTAGCAGAAATAGGCACTGTTTCCAACCCTGTGTGAACACTGGGCATTGTTCCCTTCAGTTCTTTCAAATGATCCTTTTTCTGGCCTGGGGTAGTTTTCTCATAGAGAAAACAGTGTGCTTATAGAGTATTTGTTGAATACCCTAAAGAGATCCTCTGCAGATAACTAGGATTCTCTCCCTGTGCAGCTTTCTCCTCTCTGGTATACTGTCCTATAAACTCTAGCTGCCTCGATCTCTTCAGACTCTACCAGGTAATCTGCCAGTCTGTGCTTCAGTTCCCTCTCTGTGTTGCAGCCTGGAAGTTCTTTCAAGATAGAAAGCTTAAGGAATCATAGGGCTCACTTCTTTGTTTCTCATCTCTCAGGGATCATTGTCCTTTGTTGCCTGATGTCCAGTATCTTGAAAACTGTTGTTTTATGTAATTTATCTGGTTTATTTTGGTTCAGGCAGGAAGGTAAATCTGATCCCTGTGACTCCGTCTAGGTGAAGAGTGTAAGATTTCCCTCAACATGTTGAAAACCATTACCCCTTTTACTTTTGCTATTTAGTCTGTTGCCATCCCTACTCACCAGTCTTCATATGTGTGTTTTTGCTTCTCTGAAAGCCTTTAGGATCTGTTTTGTGTTCTCATTTTTCTGAGTTTTCTCAATGATGTGCCTTTGTGTAGGTATTTTTTTATTCATTGTCCTAACTACTTTGTGGGTCCTCCCTCCTTGTGCTTTTTAAGCAGATAAGAGTATTTTATCAAGTTATAAAAAGCAGTGCATACTTTAAAAACCATAAGCTCATCCTTGGTTCTATGGTGTGAATTGGTTGGCTTTTTGTTGGTTTTCCTCTCTGCCAGCAGTTAAGTTTCATCCTTGTCTGCTCTTCTGTTTTAGTTACCACTCATCCATTTTGATGGGGATTTTTTTGTTGGTTTTTTTGGGTATTTTTTCTTTGGCAGCTGGCTGGTACAGGGATCTGAACCCTTGATCTTGGTGTTGCTGAACTCTTGATCAGCACCATGCTCTCCCAAGTGAGCTAATTGGGTAGCCCCATTCCTCCTTTTTCTACCTTCTAAAATTCTAACATCTCTTGTCTGCTTTGACTCTTCTCCTCTTGGGCCTTTGTATTATTGTTGCTTTAGTAGGGTTAGGGAGGGAGTGGAAATTAGTACAAAAGTGCTCTTGGCTATGTTTATGCATGTGTGCACACAAAACTTAAGTGCGGGAAGGAGCCAGAGGGACAGACAGGCACACAGAGCTGGGCACAGTGGAGGCAATGCACAGATCAGCAGGTGAAGGCAGTGCTGTTTGCTAGGGATGACCACAGAGGGGTGCAGGTGATAAGACCAATGCTAGCTGAGGGCTGGCAACTGGCAGGGCACTGCATAGCTGACTTTCACAATACCACTATACCCAGTAGGTCTCTGCCCCATTACTTAGGCTGTCCTTTGCCCTCTCACAGGGCTTGAGCAGGAATGTACTGTTTCAGGAGCCAGTGACCTTTGAGGATGTGGCTGTGTTCTTTACCCAGAATGAATGGGCCAGCCTGGACCCTGTGCAGAGAGCCCTGTACAGGGAGGTGATGCTGGAGAATTATGCAAATGTGGCTGCCTTGGGTAAGACATTTCTTCTCTTTGATGTTGCCCACTTCTGCCTTTTGAGCATCCTGGCTTCTTTCTTCCCTAGAACTTTGTGGGATCTCTAATAACCCTCACGAGAAGTCGTTCTGAAGTCTGAGGTTATGGGGTGGGACGGTTTTGTGTACCCAGGTTTCAAAATCAGCCATACTTCCAATCCTGGGAGGGGTAGTACCCCAAGCATGGAGGGAAATGTGGCATTCTTGGGAGCTCAGTAGAGCCCTTTGTGTGTCTTTTCCAAGTTTTCTGAAGACGACTTGGAACTTCCTCCTGTGAATGCAGAATTATTCTAGGATTCTGTCCCCTTTGTCAAATTTTCTGTCCTCTAAGATAGTCTCTAAGGCTGTTAAGTTTCTCCCTGACTTCACTTCATCTCTCCCTACCTGGCTCAGTACAGAAAGATAAAGAGGGTTGAGAGGGGACCCAGCTTCATGATTCCCTTTATCATTTTGTTCCTCTTTCATTCTTTCTGGGCAGCTTTTCCATTCACCAGACCTGTCCTGGTCTCCCAGCTGGAGCAAGGAAAACTGCCATGGGGTCTCAATCCCTGGGAACCTGTGGGCAGAGAAGCCCTCAGATGTGTCTGTTCAGGTGAGCATGAGAACCTACCAGCTGCCTTTTTTGCTTGGCCTGCTTTATTGTTTTCACATTTCAATATGTAAGAAGTGTGTCTTCTCTTGGGAGACTGTTTTTGTCCCTATGGGATCGTTACATGTGATTGAGTTCACAGTGGTAGGCTACCTCAAATGGGAAGGGCCCGTCTCTTCCAAAACAGGAAGAACATTTCTTTGCATGTTCATCTTTGCTTCTCTTCCTCATGACCTGCCAAAGGAGACTGTCTGTCTGCACTTAAACCAGATTTTTTCTTCCCTGTCACATTGAAACATTTTAATTTTTTTTACTAGTTTTTGCAAAGATGAGGATGTCAGATACCTTATGAGGAAAATAGGCTTCTTGCAGCCTGTCTGGCCACTGACATACCATAGAGTACATTATTTCTATGGAAAACTGAATTATAAGTTCCCAAACACTGACTTAACAAATTTAAAAAAATTCATTTTTATAATAGAAATTTTCAAACATATGCAAATACCAGCATAATGCAGCCCAAGTATCCCTCCCCCAGCCCCAATAGTCACCAATATCCTGCCATTCTTGTTTCTTCTTTCCCCCACAAATACGTAAAAAAATCTTTTTTTTTTTTTTAAGATGACCGGTAAGGGGATCTCAACCCTTGGCTTGGTATTGTCAGCACCACGCTCAGCCAGTGAGCAAACCGGCCATCCCTATATAGGATCTGAACCCGGGGCCTTGGTGTTATTAGCACCGCACTCTACCGACTGAGCCACGGGCCGGCCCAAAAAAATCTTTTTAACAGATGAACTTTTGAAGTAAAACTTGTTGTAATTAGAGGTGAATGGCCTCTTCATTTTCAGAGTTGTGGATATGAGAATTAAAAGTAACAACATGGTGTATTTTCTTGCCTTTCTTATTCTGCTTCACCCTTTCTCTGCCTGTTAAAATTTCCTGTGCTCTTGACACTCTTTGCAGAGAATGCTCATTACTGATGTACCCTCCCCCAGCCTTGTGTTATAATTGTGCCTTTCTGGATATGATGCCAGGACTTCAGGTTATTCTGGTAAAATATTTTCTAAACAATTTGCTTGTGAACACATTAGATTTTGCCCTGGCCCATTGCTGAAGATTATATTAGTCTGCGAAAGTCTTCAATAGTGGAAGGAAAGTAGCCTTTGTTTTTTATTTTTTAGTACAATAGTTTAGGATTTCACATTCCATACTGTTATATTAAACTGTACACATATCCTGTATGACCTTTTAGGAAAAAGAGCAAGAGTCTCATTACCTGGTTCTCTTTGAGACTATGTTCATTCTTGGGAGGGTTCTTCATATTTCCAGTACTCTTCTGTTTTAGAGGCAAGCCTGTAAGCCTTTTCCTTTCCTTCTGGATGCTGTAGTATTTGCCATGCATAGTCCCGAGCCACAGCCTAGGAGCCTGCTGCTTTATTAGAACCAATTTCATGACAGATCAGTTCTCTTTTCAAAGATTATGATATGGATAATGCTTTTATTTGAAAAAAAAAAAAGTAGCTGTTAAGGAATTTTAGCCTGTGGGGCCCTTTGTAGTGCTTGAGCTGCTCAACCTACCCCTTCTCCCATCTTGGGTATCTATTCATCATTTCTCTAGGTCTACCCCTTTATCCACCTCATTCACTTTTCTCTTGGTCTTTCTGCCCTAGTTAACAGTCTTTGCTGTTTTCCAGTCTTTACAGTCTTTATGGGCATGCCTCCTGGCCGCTTTGTTTGCCTCTCTCACATAGGGACCTCATGTCACTTGTGGAGCTCTGCTGTGTGGTGACTTTAGGTAGCCATTTGATCAGCACAATGGAAAATATCCTTATACTCAGGGCAAATTACAATCAGTTGATTCTGCTTCCTCTTTAGCACAGGTATTTTCTTTTTGTGATATCAGGGGCTGACACATGTGTTTTTTTGTGTGTGATATTAGGGGGTGAGACCAGAACTGAGAAGGAAGAATTAACTCCAAAGGAACCTATTTCTAAAGAAACAGAGTCCCACAGACTGGCCTTGGGAAGGCTGCCAGGGAATGCTCCCCAGCATCTTGACTTTGGGAGCAGTCTAGAGCAGCCCCATAGTCACTGGATAGTTAAGAAGACAAAGAGGAGGGATTTCACAGATGGGTTAGCTGGGCATCATGAGGCCTCTGCTGTTGAGAGTGAAGAAAAGTATAAGAAATTAAGAAAAAATGTTAGTGTCAGCATACGACTCACTACAGATCAGATAATTCCTAGTAGTCAGATAACTTATGAATGTGGAAAATGTGACAGATATTTCAGTCGAATGGTGGACTTCCACCAACATCAGAGATGTCACACTGGTGAAAAATCTTTTGAATGCAAAGAATGTGGAAAAGACTTTAGATATAACTCATTACTTATTCGGCATCAGATAATTCACACTGGAAAGAAACCATTTAAATGTAAAGAATGTGGGAAAGGTTTAAGTTCAGACACAGCCTTGATTCAGCACCAGAGAATCCACACTGGAGAAAAGCCTGATGAGTGTAAGGACTGTGGCAAGGCCTTCAGTAGCAGCTCAGTCTTCCTTCAGCACCAGAGGTTCCACACTGGAGAGAAACTCTATGAATGTAATGACTGTTGGAAAACTTTCAGTAGTAGCTCAAGCTTCATTGTCCATCAGCGAATGCACACTGGAGAGAAACCCTACAAGTGTAAAGAGTGTGGGAAACGGTTAAGCTCCAACACAGCCTTGACTCAGCATCAGCGAATTCACACTGGGGAGAAGCCCTTTGAATGTAAGGAGTGTGGGAAGGCATTCAATCAGAAAATAACCCTGGTTCAGCATGAGCGAGTTCACACTGGTGAGAAACTGTATGTGTGTAAGGTGTGTGGGAAAACCTTCAGCTGGTGCGGAAGATTCATTCTGCATCAGAAAGTGCACACTCAGAAGACACCTGTCCAGACATAGGGCTATTCACAGGCTCATTGTGCCTGTCTTTGTGTTTCCCTATTTTCTTGCTCTTTGTTAGTGTCCTCCTGTCCTTTCTGGACTGTGCTGACTCTTAACTCTACACCTTTGTTCCCACGGCTCTGCATATGTGGAATGGTCACTTCTCTTCCTGTCCCAGTAGTATGTTTAATTCAGACTTTTCACTTCTATCTAGAAACCTTCCTCAAATTCACTGTCTGCCCAACATAAACTCTCTTTAAAGTTAGGAGACAAAAAACAAAAAAAACCCAAAACACAAACCCCCAAACTTACGAACATAAAAGGAAATGTAAGTTTCCAGATTGAAAGGATACACTGAGTGCTCAGCAAGATGGATTGTGGGGAAACCTATATTAAAGCACATCCCTGAATTATCAAAATACCAAGTTTATTTATTTTTAAATGTTTTGTTTGTTTTATCATTACATACTGTAAACGTTTTTTGTGGCCTTTTACCAAAATACCAAGTTTAAAGAAGAGATCCTTAAAAGTTTCTAGAGAGAGAAAACAAAAGATCGGAAATAAGAATGGCATCAGATTTCTCAACAGCAACCATGAAAGTTAGATGACAGTGGTGTATGCTTTCAAAATTATGAGGGAAAATGATTTTCCCCCAGAACTCTATATACTCAAGTGTGAGTATAGAAAAAGGCATTTCAGACCATTTAGATTTGAAACTTTTATCTCCCATGTATCCTTCCGCACTAAATAAGGGTTAAACCAGTAAATTAAAAGATAGATATGTGGATACCCTATTACAATCTGTATATCAGAAGCCTCCTAAACTCAAAAACAGAGGGGCCCTGTCCATCTGGAGCCAGACACATCTTGGAGGGCGCAAGCTTTGAGACCTACCTCAGGTGCAGTGCCTATCCATCCTGCTTTGCAGTTACTCTTCACTACTCAGTTGCAGTCTGTGCCTTTGCAAAAGTCCGTGTATAATGCCCTTTGAGACAGATGCAAGGCCCTATATGTCTTACATTTATCCATCTCATTGCTGTTCCAAGTGACCTCAAAGCAGGAAGTGTTTCCTTGCAACATCGTGTAGTTATTTATTTTTTTTTATGATCATGGAAGAACTGATCATTATTTTCTGTGGAAATAAGGAAAGATATACATGTGTTCTGTTTTAACATTCACTTAAACATTCTGCAGACAGCTTGATTTTGCCCATTGAAGGAAACGGAGGGTAGTGGTTAATAATAGGGAGCCAGGCAGACTTCGGTTTGGTCTGTAAACTTGGTTAAGTTACAGAAACTGTGTACTAATTTTCTTATCTGCAAAATGGAGATGATAACCTACCTCAACCTACCCCATAGGACTGTGTTGAGGATTAACTGCATTAATTAACACATGTAGAAGTGCTTCGGACAGTGGTGCATAATAAATAATCAGAAGCGTTACCTATTATAATAAGGCCTTTCATAAGTTCTGACCTGTGTGTACAGGAAACAATCACCACAATCAAGATAATAAACATAGCCATCACCCCCAAAACTTTGCTTGTGCCCCTTCATAATCCCTCCTGGCCCTCCACAAGCAACCACTGTTTGCTTTTCATCACTTTGGATTAACTTTTTGTAGTATTTTACGTAAATGTTACCACATTGTATGTAGTCTTTATTTTTTTGGTCTGGTGTCTTTCACTCAGCATAATTATTTTGAGATTCATCCCTGTTGTTGCATACGTCAATAGTTTATTCCTTTATATTGCTGAGAAGTATTCCATCGTATGAATATGCCACAATTTGTTTATCCATTCACCTGTTGATGGCCAGTTGTTTCCAGTTTTTGGCTTTTACAAATAAAGCTGCTATTTCTGTCCAAGGTTTTATAAGGACGTATGCTTTCACGTGTCTTGGGTAAATACCAGGAGTGGAATGGCTAAGACATAAGGTAGGTATATATTTAACTTTTTGAGAATTTTCAAAACTTCTCCCAAAGTGGTTGTGCCATTGTACATTCCCGTACATTCCCACTAGCATTGTATTAGAGTTGTTAATCTACCCTAAAAGGACCCACAGACGTCTGTTTAGGTCTTGGAAAGAGAGAGAGCTCAAAGGGCAGTTGGAAACCGTAGCTTTCCTGAAGGCTGTCCCGCCTTGGACCAAAGCAGGATCCTTGGCTTGGGCCACCTATAGATGATACAACTGGCACCATTCTCCCCACACGTGCAGAGCCCAGGCTTCCGGTGACTCACGGAGTAAAGGCGGTGACAGCTGAGGGGCCTCACCTGCCTAGAAGCCAAGGTCTGGGTAGAGCCAGCCGCATCAGTGCCGCGACACCCAGCGAGGCATTGCCAAAGGGTGCGCAGGAGGAAGCCCTGCGGGGAGTGTCGCAGTCCGGCGCCTGCCACTATCCGCTCAGCGGACAGCAGCACGCGGCGTCTTCCGCGGGGCGGGGAGAGTCACGTGGGGCCGGACCGCCGGGACGACCGAGATGGGCGACCTCCGGGCGGCCTAGAGGGCCCTCGGGCGCGCTCGTGCTTCCGGGTCGGCTTTAAGTGACCAGTTTCTAGGTATTCGGGGAGCAAAAGCGTGGGTTTCAGCGAGTTCTACGTGCCAGGTCCTGCCGGTGCCGGCTTCCTTGCTGCCCCTGTAGGCCTCTCAACTCCCCTTCCCCTGAACTCGGTTCTGATGGCGGCCCGTCCCTCCCTCACCCGGAGCTTGGGCGTCCGGGCCCCGCAGAAGCTGCCGGAGGTGGCTGCACGGCCTTTTGGGGTCCGGGTCCCGCTCCTTGCCACCGACTCATGATCTTTTCTGCCCTAAAGAGCTTGTCCCGACAACCTCCCGCGCCCGGTACTGACGTTTCTGATGTTTGGGGTCTTCTGCTTCCCCGGGTGGTCTGTCTCTGGTCAGCATCACTCCCTGGGACACTGAGTATTTACCCTCAATCCTCATTCAGCCACCCCTGTTACTCCTCTCCACAGGCATCCTTTTTTGGGTCACTCCTATGGTCCCTGTAAGCATTCTGTAAGCTCTCTACGTTTTTACAGACCCAACAACGTAGGCAGGGATTTCTTGGATTCCTCAATCGACTCCGTGTGAATGGGCTCAGGAATGCTCTTCGGATGGAGGATTGTCCTGAGGACAAGGCAGAGCAATTCATAAGGAGGTTGGGGGGCGATCAGTGTGGAAGACAGAGAGGAGTCTAATAGAGTCTTTCCAATGTGCCGGAAATGTGGAGACTGGGAGGGCCATAGGTGGCTGTGGGTGATGCAGGCAGAGTTCATAGCACTCATGGCTCTTTTCGCTTCTAAGGATCTTGCTTTTCCAAATCCAGAAGACAGTGTGTGAAGCCAGGGGACGTCAGCCATGCTCCAAACAACTTGGCCTCAGGTATGCTGAGCTTTATTTCAGTCATTTTACTCGTGTTAGCTGTCAGGTAATTAGGAAAGGAGAAAGCCTAACTTGGCCAAGCTATAGTTTCACCTTTGATTCTATCACCAGGGCTATGGCAGATGTAAATACGTGGTGGTGGAAATAAGAGTTTTGTGTATCGTGGTGAGTTTGGATGTGTATTTTTAAGTGGAAGAAAGGGGATCCAAGCCAAGAAATTCTCTCTAAATGTGGAAATTCAGATCATGTTCTATAAAATCAACCACTTGATTTCATTGAAGACCTTGCCCCACAAATTGTGGATGTGTCTCAGACAGACCAGCATTCTTTCAATAGTCATTTTATAAATGCTAGATGCAAAGGCCCGGAAGTGTGGGGAAAAGGTGGATGTTTCCTAGAAAGAGGAAAAGGTCAGAGGAAGTGCTTTAATATGAGGTGAGAGAAGTAGGCTTGGGTACTGTAGGTCATGGTGAAGACTTTGGTTTCTGTTCTGGGTTAAGTGGGAAGGCACTGAAGAGTTTTAAGCGAGTGTGTGTGTGTGTGTGTGTGTGTGTGACATGGTTGAATTTGTATATTAAAAAGCTTTTTCCAGCCCTTAGTGATGAATTGGTTGTTGAAGGATGTGAATCAATTAAGAGGATATTGCAGTCCAGGTGACAGAGTAATTTTTAAAATAGTCATTATTTTTTAAAGCAATTTTAGGTTCATAGCAAAAATGAGTAGAAGGTACAGAGATTTCCCATATCCTCCCTGCCCCCACACATGCATATACGAAGGTACTTCAAAAAATTCATGGAAGGATTTGTATTATCTTTTAATCCCATTTTTTCACGAATATTTTGAAGCACCCTGGTACAAGTTCTGATGCAAGTTTAGATACAAGTTCTGATATCAGCACTATGTCAATGTCTTTAAAAGAATGGAGATGGTTTCCTTATTCTCTGGTATGTCCTAAATAGCATATAAAATTTGATTCCAAAATAACTCATCCCTGAAACAATTTAAAGCTGGCAATTTTTAAAAAAAAGACTTTATTTTTTAGAGCAGTTTTAGGTTCACAGCAAAATTGGTCAGGAAGCTCAGAGAGTTCCCGTATATCTCCTGCCAGTACACATGCCCAGCCTCCCCTATTCTGAACGTCCTGCAGCACCGTGGTACATTTGTTACAATTGATGAACATGTGTTGACACGTCATTATCACCCTAACTCCATAGTTTACATTAGAGTTCACTCTTAGTGTTGTACATTCTATACATTTACACAAATGGACAATGACATGTATCCACCATTAAAGTATCATACAGAATAGTTTCACTGCCCTAAAAATCTGCTATGCTCTGTCTATTCATCCTTCTCTTCCCCATAAATCCTGACAACTATTGATCTTTTTACTTTCTCCATAGTTTTCCCTTTTCCATAATGTCATGTAGTTGGAATCATGCAGTATGTAGCCTTTTCAGATTGGCTTCTTTCACTTAGTAATATGCATTTGAGGTTCTTCCGTGACTTTTCATGGCTTGATAACTCATTCCTTTTTAGCACTGAATAATATTTCATTGTTTGGATATTTCATTGTTTATTTATCCATTAACCTAGTGAAGGACATCTTGGTTACATCCATGTTTTAGCAATTATTAATAAAGCTGCTATAAATTTTGACATGCAGGGTTTTTTGTTGATATTAGTTTTCAGCTCCATTGGTTAAATACTGACAAGTGCAATTGCTGGATTGTATGGTAGGAGTATGCTTAGTTTTGTAAGAAATTGCCAAACTGTCTTCCAAAGTGGTTTTTCATTTTTGTTCCCATCAGCAATGAATGGGAGTTCCTGTTGTTCCACAACCTGACCAGCAGTTGGTGTTGTCAGTGTTTTGGATTTTGGACATTCTATTAGGTGTGTAGTGCTATCTCATTGTTGTTTTAATTTGCAATTCCCTAATGCCATGTAGTGTTGAGCATCTTTTCAAATACCTGTTTGCCAACTGTATGTTTTCTTTGTTGAAGTGTCTGTTCAGGTCTTTTGCCCAGTTTTTAATTGGGTTT